CGCCCGGCAGGGGGGGACGGGGGGGCACCGGGCCGTGCCACTGCCCCGGCCTGAGCTGGGCCTGGCCAGGGACACGGCGGTGGCTTCGCCTCCCCCGGGGGCCCGGGTGCCTGATGTGCGTGTCAGGGCCCGGGGGCGGGGGGGTAAAAGTCATGCGGACTTTTTCTCTTCTTAACCCTAGTTCTTATAAATTCGGGATCGAGACATGAAGCGAAATACCTCAGTGGCATCTCTCACTTCTTGGAAAAGCTGGCTTTCTCCGTGAGTACCGTACTTGTGGCAGGGGGGTCCCGGTGTCTGTGCAAAACACCGTAAATCCGCGCAGCCGTCAGCGACCGGGGAAGCGGGAGAGAGTGGCCAAGGGCAGGGCCTGCTCCTCGCAGCAGCGCTGTGGGCTTGTTCTCCTTAAGTAGGTGGTGATGGTGTTCCTAGTTAAGTATTGTGACCGTAATTATATTTTGAAAATCTGTTGTGCTTTCACCTCCAAGGTTAGTGAGTATTTAGCAAACCATTTGACTTAAAGGGTGTAGATATTCCTTGTTCTTGGCTACACTGATGGATTATAAACACTTGTGGCTTTACTAATTCATAACACTAGTATCTTCTTTCTTAGTCCACAGCTCAGTTTGGCAGCAAAGATGAAATTCTCCTCACCTTAGAAAAGCATGGGGGCATTTGTGACTGTCAGGCATCGAGGTAGGATGCTCTTTCTCTGTTACCCGAGTGGTTATAACGTGGACAGTAGCTTGAGTTGCTTTTTCTGGTGTGTGACAGTAAAAGCCACTTTTTGCTTCTAAGCAGCAGAAATCCATTTCTGGTGACTGCTATGAAGCTACAAATTTAAACCTGAAAAGGTTATAAATGTCAGTTCTGTTTCCTAATGAAAGCATTTCACGATAAGAGTCAAGCAGCTTTACCTATGATTTCCTGATGCACATTTACTGAATGATCATAGATGCGTCTTCTGAGTGAGAACCCATCTGCTTGTGTTGCAGGGACACCATAATGTATGCTGTTTCTGCTGATGCCAAAGGCCTGGACACAGTGGTCAACTTGCTGGCTGATGTAGTACTACAGCCCAGGCTGTCAGGTCTGGGAACATGCGTTTCTGTCTCAAAAAAAGACTCCCGACGCATGACTTGCCATTAGATTTCAGAATTCTTCATTAGATCATGCTCATCAAGAAGTTATCATGTAGCAATTAGGTATTTTATATGGTGGTTGTTATCTCTTGCTTTCTTATTACAGATGAAGAAATTGAGATGACTCGAACGGCTATACGATTTGAACTTGAAGACTTGAATATGAGACCTGATCCAGAGCCTCTCCTCACAGAAATGATCCATGCGGTAAAACACTGAGAAGTCTGCCTTGCGTGCAGTCCCCTGTATGAGACACGCTGCATTCCCTTCCTCAGTTTTTTCTCAACTTCAGGGTTTATTTTAGACTATTCTGAAAACAGATTTTTCTGTTAGTCAATTAGATTTCAGTGGTGAGAGGGAGAATTTTGCTGTCCCTCCACTTGGAAATCCTACATGCTACATGCATGAAAGATTTTAACCTAAACTAAAGCTATTTATAACTTATCTTTGTTGACATGGGTGACAACACGTTGTTGAGTTACGCTGACAATGCTCAGCCTTTCCTCTCTTACATGTCTCAAACAGTTAGGCATAATTCTAAAACAGAAAGAGAAGGTTTAGATGGAGAGGAGGTGAAGTAATATTTGTTACGTTAATGTATCTGTTTCCTTTTAGGCAGCCTACAGAGATAATACAGTTGGACTGAACAGATTCTGCCCAGTGGATAATACTGCCAAAATTGATCGAGAAGTCCTGCATTCGTACCTGCGCAACTACTACACGCCAGACAGGATGGTGCTTGCTGGGGTGGGAATCGAGCACGAGCAGTTAGTGGAGTGTGCAAAGAAATACCTGCTTGGAGCGGAGCCGGTGTGGGGCCGCGGGCAGACCAAGGATGTGGACAGATCTGTGGCTCAGTACACAGGAGGCATTGTCAAGGTAAAAGGAAGGTGGAGGTGCCATCGTGCCTTGTCCTCTCTCTTGGAGGTGCAGATTTGGACTTGAGCTGATTTCTCTACAGGCTTTGCTATTCTATGATTACATACTGTTCATGAAGATGAGCCCGAACTGGCCATGACAGCCATTATTTGGGTGACAGGTTAATTATTGGGAATGTATCAAGCTGGATACAACAGCAGTGAAAATCAGTCCTAATAATTTGTCTGCTCTTCCCACAGGTTGAGAAAGATATGTCAGATGTGAGTCTGGGCCCTACTCCCATCCCAGAGCTTACCCACATCATGATTGGGTTAGAAAGCTGCTCATTTTTAGTAAGTATTAATCTAAAATCCTCTGGTTTGGGCGCTCTGTACTTGAAGAATCCCAGAATACCATCTCATTATGTAAACATTGACACTCTTGCTGCTGTTCCTGCACGTACAGATGAGCACCTTTTCACTGACAGTCTGATGAAGACACTGACCTTTACACTCTTCTTGTGCCGTGTTTATTTCTGACTCTTTTTCTCCCTCTTTACTCATCCCAGACCCTTGAGAGCTATGCTGTTAGCTGACTGAATTTCTTTTTGCTATTTAGGAGGAAGATTTCATTCCCTTTGCGGTATTAAACATGATGATGGGAGGTGGTGGGTCTTTTTCAGCTGGAGGGCCTGGCAAAGGCATGTTCACCCGACTGTATCTCAATGTGCTCAACAGGTTGGTTTGCCTTTCTGTTTAAAGGATAGCAGAAACAGTCTTCTCTAGCAGGTTTGCAGGGAAGGCTTCATCTTTTGAAAGCCAGCACACCCAGGTTTTACATCAGCTTATTCCACTTGAAACATGCGGGACTGATTTGTCCGTGGGCATTTTGAGAGGGTGAAAGTAAAGGCAGAAGTGACCAGGAATCCTGTCTTCCCCCACTAGCCTGATCCATCCTGTAATCGGGGTATTAACAGGGTTGGCAGTGGGTACCAGTACTACTGCTCTGTATTGTTCTGGGTTCAGTCTCAAGGGTGCAAGTGGAGAGAAGGAGAAGGCACATGCAGGGACTGACAACTCCCACGGGCACTGCTGAGAATCCTGAAAATGCGCTAGGAGGGGACTCTCTGTCCATGTTTAATTTTCACATTTAAATTCTGTTTTTTAAATTCTTAAATGCTGTTTGTGTACTCACAGGCACCACTGGATGTATAATGCAACTTCTTACCACCACAGTTATGAGGATACAGGTCTCCTATGTATACATGCCAGCGCAGATCCAAAACAGGTATATAGTCCTGTATTCGAAGACAAGCGTCCATAAAAAGTAATCGCATCACTTATTACCAGACAGTAACATTAACAGAATAAACATGGTTCTAATCTTCTTTCAATTATCTTGTTTTTCCTAGGTTCGAGAGATGGTGGAAATAATCACGAAAGAATTCATTCTAATGGCAGGAGCAGTAGGAGAGGTCAGCAGCCTAACTTGGAGACTATGCAGATGGTCTGAGCTGAAATAACGCATTGCACTGGCCTTGCTAAAATGAATTTCTGTAGATACGTATTTCTGTAAAGGAATATAGTAACTTTAGCAACACACTCACAAAGAGGATGGTGTTTGCAGAACTCTTACATGGTATCTTGTATTAGAGAGCACTGGCTCTATTTTTGAACATCTGTTTGTATTTGCTGCTCACTTACAGGTAGAACTTGAGCGAGCGAAGACGCAGCTGAAGTCCATGCTCATGATGAACCTTGAGTCTCGGCCAGTTATCTTTGAAGATGTGGGTAGGCAAGTGTTGGCAACAAACACAAGGAAGCTACCTCATGAGCTCTGTGCCCTCATCAGTGAGTAGACAATGCTTATCCTTGCCTTGACTGAATTGTAGGCACAGTTGGGGCAGGGCAACTTACAACATATTTTTATAGCACAGATGAATTGCCTTAGAAAGCCTGGGGGCATGAATACTACAGATACACAGCTGATTTTCTCAGTTGCTTGTAAGCTAGCACAATGCTTATTTTTTGTCAGAAGGAAGCAAAAACAGAAGCATGGCAGAGAAGGGCTAGAGTTAGTGATTGATTTTCTGAGCATGGGGTCTGACTCAGCATCATAATAGAAGCTGCTTCGTGCTGTTTAGAATGTAGTTGTCACAACTCTGGCTTTTTTTTCTTTGTTGTTCTGCAGGTCAGGTGAAGTCCACTGATATCAAGAGAGTGGTCACAAAGATGCTTCATAAAAAGCCAGCTGTAGCTGCACTGGGTGACTTAACAGATTTGCCCACTTACGAACACATCCAGGCAGCACTTTCCAGTAAGGACGGGCGGCTCCCTCGGATGTACCGGCTCTTTCGATAAAGCAGTGTATCCTGCATGTCTGAGACTTGCTTCTTTTTTTAACATTTTTTTTTGAGATTATAATATTGCTGCAAGCCCTCCTCCCTCCCCGTCTTTCCAGGCATATTGTGCAAACATGGAGCTACGCTACAGCTGAACAAAGCTGCTTCAGAACACTGGGCTGTGAAGAGCTCATTATGTTGGGCTTAAAGGCCCACCCTGGCTCTGGATGAGTACTTTGACCCTCTGAGTTAGGTTACAAGAGAAGATGGGTGCATACAGCCTTCTCTTGGCACTGGAGAGAACATAGCAAGCCAAAATATTCATCACTACAGCAGAAAGCACGTACCTGAGAAGTCACTGCTGTGTGTTACCGCTTAATCAGATCAGCAGGAGAAGTGGGGCTGTCACGCTGGCAGCCCTGATGTGTGCCCTTCTTGAGGAACGTGGTGGCATGTTAAAGAGCTTGGCTTACAGTTCTGAATTCAAAGAATATTTATAGCTGTTACCAAGGTGAACAAAAGACTTGGTCAGACCGCATTAGAAAAAATACTAGTTATAATCCATGTGAAGTTAGGCAACGAGATTTGTGCAGTCCAGGATTTGTTACAAGCATCATGGATCCATTTCATCGGTGTAATTTACCATTTGTAGTACTACTAGAGGTCACATGTCTGGAAATAACTAGTGTCTCTGGAGTTCATCTACAGAGATACCGCACATAATGCTACATGGACACTTAGTCTAGAATGAAAGCGATCCTATTCTTGGGGTTTTTCCACTTGCAAGTGAATGATTCTAAAGAATTAAAGTTCTTTTACTCCAAAGTTGGTAAACAAACAGAAAATTTTTAAAGGAATTGCTGCTACTGCACCTTAAACTCATACCTACTTTCTTCATTGTCACTCAGGTGAACTTAAGGCCTTGCAAAGAGACAGCGTAATTGTCAGTCTCACAGCAGAGCTGTCGCTCAGCTAGGAGTCAAGATCAACAAAATGACAATGTTTAGACAACATTAGATCATAAGATCTGGAAAGTGACTGACACCATGTTACAAAAAGACAGGAAACTAAGTGCCACAGCATTTGACATATTGAGGAAATGGAGACCCAAAAGAGATGAAGAAAACACTTGATTTACATAATCCCCTAACATATGGGCTTAAAAATGTAGACAGCTGCGTTGCAGCACTTCCCTGGCTAGATGTGTATCGTAAGGAGCAATCCGACTGGGAGCAGAACACTGTAAGGCAGCTATTACCTGCTTTATCCCCATACCTTTCCTCATGCAACTGGAAGAGAACATGTTGCATTGCTTCTTGTGGAACCCACAATACGGAAGTCCTATTCAGTTGTCATGTATGTTTGTAAGAAAATAAAGAGACCTCTAAATGACTGGAGCAAGTAGTAAGAGTTCTGAAATTCATTAGCTAATAGCTGGGTTTCTTGAACAGGTAGGTGAAATCTGCTTGCTTTGTTCAGTGCAAAATATCCCAAAGAAATCTGTCCAGCTTTCCCAGCTGAAGACAAGTGGCTCAGGTTACCCAAACAGTTAGCATGCATCACACAAAGATTCGGACAACCCTGCAATAAGAGCTGGTTCTCATTTAAGGTATTGCATTAATTTATTTTTATTCCTTTAAAAAGAAAGGAAATCCAAATACCTGATGGCTACAGACAGGTCAGTGCCATAAAAGTTTGTACCGCAGAACAGAAGCTCTGTCTTGGACAGGTTGCATAGTTAGCAGCACTTCCTCCAAGTTGTTTGCACGGTGTTTTATGTACTAAGGTGATTAATGATCCAGCCGATCTGTGCCCATGAAGAGTTTTTAAGTTATTAGCTGTACTTAACGTTTTACCAGTGCCATACTGGTCCATGTAGTATGCTTAGCCTTAAGACAACACTACTTCAAAAACAGCAAGTTATTCACAGTTCACTGAATTGGAAAAATAAAACCAAAAGGAATTAACTGTAATCGGAGGTAATGGAACTGCGCTCATCTGCCTTGCTGCAGTTTCTCCGCATACCTCCCTGGTGCTCACTTGGCGCGTTAATCGCTTTGGTGAAGCATTACACAGTAGCTGTACTCAGGCCATTATTTTCAACTCACGTGTCCTGCTGCTGAAGCGAGGTAGTGTTTCATCACCCCTGGGGAGGGCAAGTGAGTTAAGGAAGGGATTGTTTCAAGCAGTCCCAACAGCCAAATATATGGTGTGAGAAATTGATATTTACCCCCTTGGTAACAGAAGGCCTATAGAATAATTATTGAAAGGCAATGTTTCTATACTTCAACTGTACAGTAGTACATTCACACAGATCTTGCCATAGAGGACCAAAAAAGCCCAACACAGGAGCACCATCCTTACACAAAGCTGCCCAAGTCCCCTCACTGGTCCCTGTTACGCATTTTACAGAATACCTTGGCTACAGATATGGAGGAAAAAAAACTCAACCACACAATGTATGTAGACTAACCAGATCAAATCAAACAGACAAACAAAAATTTTCACCTTTCTGCAGGCTTTTTTAGGTCCCCTGCCCCTGGTCATGCCAACTCCAGAAGCTGTGCCCCCTGTGTGGAGTCATCTTAGAACCAGGAGACTGCATCCATTTGCTTCCAAAGATAGTACGGTTAAAAAAAAAAATCATTACATCTGTTGGGATGGATGTCCTAAGCAACAGACTCCATTTTCTTCAGCAAAAGCACTTGAGCTACATGGATTAGCTCATGCAAATGAATCCAGGATGAGGTTTAAGACATTCTTCACAAGCCACAGCGACTGCCGGAGGTGGTTAAGCAGACAATTCCCTGCAGAGTTTGCCCTGGCCTGAAATCCTCTTTCCGGGCACCTCTAACAGAAGCATCGCAGAGTTCTCACCTCAGGAAACGCTACATACGCTGCTGGATTTTTGGTCCTTTTGCTCTTGCCGTTTCTGAAGTTCCCTTGTAATCCGTCTCTTTATTCCAAGTAAATAGAGTTCTCTGTCAAACTGCCCTGCAGCAAGTGGAATGCTACAATATAAACACAAGCAATTAGATCAGGGCACAAATACATTCTTCTTGTTTGCCCAACATTTCCCAACTAGTTCATACAACAAAGGCCAGAAACCTAATTTTTACTTTCTGAAGGCATTCAAGCTACTGCTGTGGGAGAAAACGGGCAAAACAAAGTTCTTCCACAGCAACAAGTTAAGGTTTTTCACAATACATTTAAATGAAGAAAATACTGCTTGTAAAAGGCAAACGTACTTTCAATTTCAGCACGAACATGCCTGCATTCATAAGGGATGTACGTGGAGGACATTCTTTATGACCCTAAACCAAAAAGCACTCAAAGCTAAAGTAGCTTACTGTTAGTTCGGTCTTTTCGCTGGTATGGTTCATGCACGATGGTTCTTACCTTGGTCAGTTCTAGAGGCCAGAAGGAAACGCTAGTAGCCCAGCTTCACAGACTCTGCAATACTTCTATTTAATGGGTATTTACTGCCCATAGACAAACAAAAAAAAATCCCAATTCTCATGGCACTGCTGATCACCTGAGAAAGCACCATTTTCTAAATAGCTGGGTCTTGAAATCCCTGAGCATGCTACTCACAGGAAAGCTACTAACTAAATTTCAGTGACTTAACCAAATTTTCTAAGGGGTTCTACTAGCATGGCAGCCCACAGTGTGACGATCCCAAAGAGTGAAAGAGGAACAGAAGAGGAAAACTGTCCAATGCTGATAGGAAAACCAGAGAGCTGCATCTCAGATGAAACACAGATTTATAGCCAATTGCAATGGACTCCGTTTATCTTCCTCAGAAGGATTAAGGGACTGGGCAGCAGGGATTTCAGATGTCAGCGCAAGGTTTAAGCGCTCTTACTGCTCTGACCACTGAGCACATATATTGGGTAAAAACCCAACAGGCTGCAGAGAGCTACGCAGGATTAATTCTATTTCAGGGACTGTCCTGAGAGGACAAACTCTGAACATGAGCATATCCTCAGGATCACTGGAGCCATGCGCAGTCATAGAGAGGGGCATAAGGAGGTACTAACTTGTCTCTGCCAGGCCTCACTTTCACACGAAACAAGGCAAATACAGGCCGATGGTCTGAAGTTTTGATCACAGGACAAGATGAGTACTTGACAGCGTGGATGTCATCTCTGTACCGACTGCGGTATACAACTCGATCCTGGGAGGCAGAGAGAGAGGGGAGACTGATGGTAACTCCCTTTGCACATCCACCCTGGAAAGAAGCACTGGTTCACAAGATAAATCCATTCATTTATCACACTCCACTCAGTGAAATTAAGTGTCTTGGACAGGGATGCATTCATGAGGAATGTGTGTCTGATCCCAACAGTGGTTCTGTGCCCAGCTCTGTGCACAGGGGAGCATGCACTGGAACAGGGTGTAAGGCAGGGAAAATAAGATCAGCAGCCTGTGCCAAACTCCCCCTGCACTCACAGATTCAATAAACCTTTCTTCCAAACCAGTTCCACATGCCCTGTTGCCCTTCAGCAACAAATCTCAGCACAACCATACCTCATGCAGACCAACTGTGGAAGGCGGCTTTTTCTCGCAGGTGAGAATCCCCTTTGGAGGCAGATGGGAGGCTGAGCAGCCCTTCCAAGCACGCTGCTCTGAAATCATCTCTTACCGTGTAGGAAGGAGTCCTTTGTTTGGAAGTGGTGTCATAGCTGTCCTTTCCTATGTCAAACTTGTAGGAAGGACGGAAATGAATGTCAGCCTCTTGGAATCCTTTGAAAATAGACCCTGTAAGGGAAGGAGAGAACAGCATGAACAAGAAATTCCTCCTTCCTAAGAACCCAGCACACTTTCTGCATTTATTCAACACTTCTTAACTAATGCTGGCTAGAAACAACAGCCGTGTACGTACATGACTAGAAAAACCTGGGCTTGGGCTCCAGAAAGGGTGCAAGCTCAAGTTCTTACATAGTGAGGATGAAAAACAGCCAGCAGCTATTTAGTCACTGGCTATTTAAACAAAGAACACTTGGTGCAAGCACTTCCCCCTCCACTGAAAGCTCATGACGAAAGCAAGTGCTAGCTATTCCAATCTAAATGCCCTAGCCAGTGTGACACAATGGTGTCCAGCTTATAGAGGAGTCAGGTGAACAGTAAATGGCGTGGGACATTACACAATATATAGCAAAATGCTATAGCAAAAAGTCCCTTGTACAGACTGCCACTGTATTTGACAGTGCTGCCTGCCTTTTTTTAGGGAACTTAACAATAAAAAGCAGGCAAAGTCTCTAGGAAATAGGGATTTGGCTGTAACATAGATCTCTCTGCTCCTGATGGCTAGGGAGAAAAACAACTGTCCCTCACCCCTGCTCATTTCACTTGTAAGCTGGTCATATGCCAGTAGCTTGGACACATCTGTTCCCGTGTTCTGGTTCAAGATGGAATCCACAGTCTCACGATCCTTATTTAGTCGGAAGTTGAAGTCACCAAACCAGAACACTTCATCAAACCGAGTTGTGACGTCACCTGCAAATTCAAGCCAGAAGTGTCAGTATAAAGGTAAACACCCTGAAAAGTTCCAAAGGCAAACAAAACCTTTTCTTCCCTGAATCTCCTTTTGACTTTTGAGGAAAACTAAAGCATATAATACAGCTGCACGCTCATTAAAATCAAACTCACTTAATTCTTTTGAAGTGAGAGCTGTATGATGCATAGGTTACTGCGAGAGCTGCTAGGTATGCTCAAGGAACAGGCACAAATTCTTCTTTTTACTACCAGGAGATATAATATTGAGCGTATTTTCTGCCTGTGACCATCACAGAATGTGGTAATAAAACCCAGTAGAAAATAGAACAGAAATTTTTAAAAATCACAGAAAAAGCTGAAGAGAGACCGAACTATCTACAGGACCTAATGCTACACTGCAGATAAACAGTAAATCCATCCTTCTAGAAAACGGGCTTAGCTACACATCTAGACGTCATGTTAACAGCACAGTTTTAAGAAACAATAATATATCTGGCGAACAATATGCTGACCTGTGTATATGCAAATTGAAATAATGTTCTTTCTCTTTAAGTTTTGAAATAAAGTCACTTGTTCTAGAAAACACTTGTAAAGTGAAACACATCTATAATATTGATAAAAATGACACCAAAATTATCTTTTTGCTGTTCTGAGAAAAAAATACATCACATGAAAACTCCTTTTGAATTTTCTCTCTCCCCCTCCATTTCAACTTCTTCACTCAAATTCCCCCCCAAATTACACCCCACCTAAAAAAAAAATCCCATGAATAACAACCATCCTCAGACAAAAGACCTGTGGCCACTTTTTATGCCATCTCAAAGTAGCATGCTCATTCTCTCTTGCTTAGCGTAGACTGCAAGACAGCGCACAAACCCTGTTCATTTGGGCTCCCCCACACGCCTGGTTTCACACTTACTAGAACTGGATCGATACGGGTTTGTGTCCGGAACGTTCTTGGGAAGGGTAAGGGCTTGAATGGTTTTATTGTAGTCCAGTTTCCTCTCATTCACCTTACTGTCCCCAGCTGAAAGACAGAAATCCTGTTACTGCCAACGAGGCATCATTTTCATTCAATTGCCATTTTTGGTTACAAGAGGAGCTTGCAAAGGACAGGAGACGTTTTCCAGGTGTAAAATGTAACACTCTGATCCAGGGAGCATACAGACTGAAAAATGATACAAAGGGATGCAATTGTCCAGAGTTAATTTCTGTTTTTCTTAACACAGTTCTTTTGCAAGTTTGCTACCAAAAAATCCTCCTCCCTTATTGTTCTCAGCTCAGCAACCCTCAGCTTTGACTTCAGTCTGCCCCGCTCTGCTATGCCCCTGCAGCTTTTTTACCTTTGTAAAGCAACCCCCCTCAATCAGGACACTTCTAACAAGACTGTAAATGTCTCACATGTGAAGTGGGAGGTGATGAAGAGAAAGGAGGTCCCAAAAAATGTGAAGCAGATTCCCAGAGCTCCCTTGGTTTTGATCTGAGAGACGATTCGAGTTGTCACTGTGGCATACTCCACTTCTGGAAGGAGAAAAAGAAGCTGCTTTTACTGAAAAGCCTCTCAAGACAGCGAGCAGGGAAGTTAGGCGAGGGACAGCCCTGGAGAAAAGGACAAGATGGCAGCAGTCCTTCCACCTCCCCACTCTCCGGCTCTTACTGGACCACACACCTGAGCAGAACCAGATCAGGTCCCTCCGAATGAAGACCGACATGTACAGCACCCCATGGGCGGCGGAGTAGAGCATGACGTAGTGGGGACCTAGCGTCTCTTGCAGGCGGATCTCCCACTCTCGTCTGCAGGGAAGAACAACAGCAGGATCACAAGGACAGCACAGGAGACAAGAACCAGGAAAGGAAATCAGCACGGTGAAAACAGAGCAATCCCTCCGATACAGAATGGCAAGCGAGCGTAAGCAAAACCTCCACTGCCACAGCGGTGCTGCAGCGAAGGCTGGTCAGTCTGGTGTGTAACTCCACACATGCCACGCAGCAAGCTTTGCACGTTGGTGAGAGAGTATTGCTGCCACGGCACCGAGCAGCTTGCAAATCTGAGGAAAAGAGTCACGCTGGGAAGATACCCTAAAAAAGGAGAGTCATGAGGCTTCAACCTGCCCTTCTAGGGTTGGTTGGTCTCAGACAGACTAGAAATCTGCAGCAATGTGCTAACGCCAACAGCCAGCCCGTGAGCTTGCCCAGCGCCAGCTCAGATCGATGGTAAGATGCCTGCAGAAATCAGACAGCAGTTTTGCTATTTGCTGCCCTGACAGCAGGACTAAGTTCTGTATTTACAGATTTTTGTGACATTTTCCTCTAAACCCCATCTTCCCTGGTGCTCATGCGATGGAATTCAGAGTCTTATTAAATGAGCTGTTTATTGAAAAGACTAAGAATATGATGGAGACTATTTCCAGACTAATTAAAAACAAAGTAATTAGTTAACAATAAAAGAGGATGGTTCATTACATTGTTTTTGCTACCTGTCTGGACAGCCTTCTTGAACCCCAACGACATACATGTCCTGGGCATAGTCAGGATCTGTTGGTAATAAGAAGTCATCCAGATTCACTGGAAGTTCCTATTATTAAAAAAAAAAAAAAAAAAGAGAATAGCAATATTAGCTATGCAAATATTTACTAGTAAAGTACAAGAAAAGTCCAGGCTCAGCTACAAGTTCCATGGCATATGCAAACAATTCAGGCTTCAAAAGATAGGTTAAGTGATAATACTAAAAATTCTCCTTCCCAAAGGCAGACTTCAACTGCCATCACTCCAGCAGTAACCAAGATTCCACAGCTCAGCCATGTGGGCCAGTAATGTCATGTTTCCCATTTCCTGTGACACTTTTTACCAAGCTTGTAGGCTATTTACTGAACACCCCAGGACTGCTTGTGCTCTTGCAAGCACAGCTTCTCAGGCACCTGGTAGAATCAGCCTTGAATTCCTCGGCTACATAAAGATGTAGGCAGGAGGCCGTGTTCTTTATCAGAGCTGTTCTCATCATAAGCACTAAATCGTCAGTCATCTTCACATGACTCTAATTACAACGGAGCATAAAGGACCTGCCAAAAAAGCCAGAGTGGCCCTAGCAAGCTCACAGCTAGCATCCGCAGAACCCCGTTACAATGACTCCCTCACTAAGATGAACGCATGAGAGGGCCTTGTCATTTGATAAAGATGATGAAATCAGGTTGACGAGGAACAGTCAGGAACAGAAAAAACCCCATCCCACCAGTCCTTGCAGTAAAGATGGGGTAACTTTACCACTGCCAAAAGACCTGTCAAGACTTCTGTGCACATACCTTCTGACCCTGCATGTTCCAGGTGGCCACAAAAATTCCAATATTCCGATCAGGGAAATATTTGCTAAGTTCTTCTGCTCCCAGTAAGGCACCATTCGCCAGAAGGCTGCCTTCCAAATAGCTTCTGTGAACAGAAGACCCATAAAAGAGCATCTAAGGGAAATGGCATGACAATTGGAATAATGATTTGTAATGCCCGAATCTTGAGTTAACCAAGAACATACCTGTAGCTCAAGAAAATGGCATTTAATATTTAAATATTGTTCTGCTGGCCTGAAGTTCCTTATAAAGCTCCAACCCTTATAGACAGTTCATGGATCATATGCAAGAAAACAAAACCATTGTCACGAACTGGCCTTTTCAAAGCCAGGACCTGAGGATGATGGTGGGACTGATGCAGCACAGGTTCTGTGATGAGAAGACTTAAGCCATCCAAAGTCCTCAATCCCCCTACTACTTACCACAGGCATAAAATAAAGACCTTGGTTTGATATTTGAGTACCTGGAAGAAGCTCAGTTCACTTAAAACACGAAAATAGCCCCACCGTTCCCAATGTCCTGGCACCAACTTGCTCCTAATCAAGGATTCAGACTCACATTCTTCCTTCAATTCAGCTCATTAAATTAGCTTTCAAGTAAACGATCTGTTGAGTCCGAGGTCTAAAAGAATATGACATTCGAAAAGGATAGCTCTGCCCCACACCGCCTGCCTCGCCAAAGAACACGCTGCTTACAAAAGCAAGGGGTCTTGGCAAAAGGACCGCAAGTTGAATAAGCATTTTTAATCTCGCTTAAGCTCTGCAAATAACGATGGCAGCATGATGTCAGGGAATGCAGCGCGACCCATTGCTCTGCTCACCTGACTCCCACAGCTTTGCGGAGGGAAGTGAAAGCAAATCCCTCATGGCAAACAAGTAACAGTCTCTCTTTGGGGCTTTTCTACCAGTTAGTAACACCTTAATTCATCTCTCAGAATTATTTTTCCCTGTACCACCGACTCCCACTCTTCGGATCAATGATCAGATTTGTCCCTCGAGGTCTTGCAGCCTTTTGGGCATCTATAACACACGACCTTTAGCTGAGCACTGGGTATCCTTTACCTTGTAAGGTGTTCCCTGACCTGCAGTGTTAGCAATAATACTCATTGCAGTATTTGTGCTGTGTGCAGGTCTTCACAAATAGAGAGTCTGCAGCCAACACAAGAGGAGGGCTCGGTACACTGGCAAGCAGATTAATATACCCACCGCAGTCCCCTCCAATCAATAATCTAAATTTAAGAATGAAGACAAATGAGCAACCAGAGCAAGAGGTCAGGGCCCCACCAGGAGAAAGTGCTGAGATCTGAGTGGAATCACACTCTTCCTCAAGAGATTCCTGGAAAAGCTGGGCAGAGGAGCTCCCGTGGGACACTGAAGCAGTTCACAGTACCTGATTTGATCCTGCCAGAAGCCACACAAGCTCAACATCTGGAGAAGACCCTCAGCACCTTACAGGAGTATGACAGTACTGCATGTCTGCATGCTAGTTTCAAGCTAAAATGCTTGGGTTTTTTTTCCCTGCCATTTAACATTTCAGTTCAACCCCAATGTACTTTTAGATTGAAAAAAAAAAGTTTTTTGCCAACTGTTAGCATGCACAGCTACTGTTTCTTAATTTTCAAAACAGATTACTTAAATATTACAAGCAAGCTGACAGCAAATCGAACTGACGTTTATGAAAAACAAGAGCCAGCTGAAAGAGCCAGCTGAAAGGAGCAAATACAGAGCATTTGTACTGATCTCTTCACCTTCAAACTGTTTTCAGTCTCCGCAGCAGATTAAACAACACAGAACAACTTCTGTGCTTCACTGATCAGTCTCAAGTTCCCTGCCTCTGCCCAGCAGGATTCTGCAGGGCAGCTGGCTCCCTGCTACCACCCCCCAAACTTTGCCACGGGAAGCTGGGAGGACCTACCTGCTTCGAACATCCTTGGAGCGAATGGGAGTGAGCAGGCTGAACGTAGATTTCATGGAGTCTGTGGAGCAATTATCATAGACCATCCCATTGCCATGTAGCCTGGTATCGCTCAAGCTGCTGCTTACCTTCCCAAACTTGTGCTGAGAATAATGTCGATAATCCATATAATCTGAGTCAATCCTATTAGCTGTCCTCAGTGTGTGAGAGGCCACATTGAGCTCCATGGGTGGCAGAGGTCGAGCTGGCATTATTTGGGACAGCCGGGGTTTGCCACCTGCAAACGCTTTGCCCCGCAAAAGCCCACCAAAGGCACTGGAGATCTCAGAGGCTCGTTTCCCCAGGTCGGAGGTGCCTCCTCTGCTCTTCCCCAGGGGACTGGCTTCTGAGGCGTCTGGTGAACTGTGCAAGGAATTCTGTTGGACGCACTGATGGCAGGGGCTCGCCCTGCCCCTGACGGGAGGGCTGAGGGACGCTTCCTGCAGAGAACCATTTGAGGAACTTGTCTCATTGGGATCAGTCAGACTTTCCTGACTCGTTCTAAACCGCCTCCACCTCCTCCAGCTTTTCTCATCCAGAGATGCAGCACGCTCCAGCCGGGGTTTCCGAGGAGGCCTTGGAGTGATCGATTTAATTTTCATATTAGCTTTGAGTTCATCTGGTAGAAGCTTTAAGGTTTCATTCAAAGAGGTGCCTGCGCTCGGATGATCTTCAAAGGTAAGCACCCCATTGCCACCAGCCTCCTTCTTTGCTATTTTGCCAGCTTTTTTAGCATGCAGGTCCTGTACTGCTCCACCCTCCGTGCTCTGAGAAACACACGCCCCCGAGTGCTGCGGAAATCCATTTGGAGTACTCATTCTCCCCCAGGTACCAGCTACGGACGCTGCTCCATACAAAAGGTTCCTCACAGCATAGCTTCCTTCCCTTGCTTACCCCGTAGGTTCACAGGGCTTTAACCAAGCCAGGAGGACGCAGAAACTGAAGACGGCTCAGTCTTTAGTTGAGAACGAAGGGCAGGCGTACGTGTAGGCAGATGCATTGTCTGCAAAATTTCAAGACGTGGGATACCTGGATTTCCCCAAGAGAAACACATAAGAATGAAAAGTTATTGAGCTGTGAACCCTGCTCCTTAACCAGAAAGCAAGCTCCTCGCAGGACCTCCCTCTAGAACAATTCAAACCTTAACGTGACCTTGTTAGAAAAGCAATGCTATTTCCTTTTTTTATTTTCAAGAGCAGAGCAGTGAACTGACTTCCTCGCTGCTGTAGGCATCACAGCTGTGTACACGCTTCTCGAAGGAAAGGGTGCATATATGGTTAGAATGAAAGGAAATTAAAACTGCGCATAAATCACAGCTTCTTCTCCTTGCTGGACACTGAGTCACCGGTACAACCAGCCTCCGGGCTGCCCACAGCACTCCCTGCCAGAGGCCAGGAAATTTCCAGTGATCTCAGCTTCCACCGTGATCTCACAGCGGGGAGGTCGCTGCCACCTTTTCGGGCTTTGCACCAACCCTCGGCCGCTGCCACTGAAACTGAGAAAACACCCGAGGAGCAGTTTTGGGGACAGGGTATCGGGGTTCAAGTCAAACTCGTACTTGGGGGGGAGGGAGCCCCTCGTTATTCTACAGCTACTGCAAACCAAGGTCCCCACCCGCAGCGGTGCGCCCCGCAGCTCTACGCGGGGAAGGCAAAACGCGCAGGACGCGGGCCCGTGCCCGGGGGAGCCGCCCGCGGGGGTCTCCTCACCCCCC